TGATGATTTGAAAACTAAATTTTCAAATTATTCAAATATTCATTTTACTTCTAATCATTTTGAACAGTTAACTATTGAAGAACAGCTGAATACTATTATTCAAACAGATGTATTTATTGGTATGCATGGTGCTGGTTTAACTCATGTTCTATTCATGAAACCAAAACGCGTTCTTATTGAATTAGTCCCACCACCGGGATCGGCAGGAACACATTTTGATTTGATGGCATCAATCAATAATGTTATTTATCGTCGTTGTTTAATCACGAGTGAATCATCAGGAACAGCACAAAGGATATTTGATTGTATAAAAGAGAAAATTTCTCAAATGTGTTCTTGAGTCATTAAGTGAAGTAAAACAAATTTTGTTTTAAAGCAATTTATAGAGTAAATGTAAACTTGAAGCATAGAAAGTTAAAGATTTATATCCGTTGGCTAAAGAAAATTCCCTATAGTAGACTTATTATAAGTAGGACGACCTTCTGAAGTTTGACAAACGCTGCTTTTTTTTGCTCATTAACTGTAGGAGACCATCGGCATTCTTTATTAATATATAAAAAAATGTGTTAATGCTTGTAGATTTGATAGGATCCCCACAATGTTGATTAATGGCTTTAAAAAAAGTTTATTGATCTCAGACTTTCAATTGACTGCATTGTTAGTAAATCTTCTATCAAGGCTATTTAGACGAAATTGAAGATTTCTTCAAGTTCCGTTAATATAACCTAGATAAGCCTACTTCTTACATATAAAAACAAGTGTTTGCTTTTTTTTTTTGATATATTATATGTTGAAACTATTCGAAGCTCAAAGATTCTTCCTTGATATAAGTATATGACCGACGGCAAATCTTGAATTTTTATTCACATCAAAGTGGCGAAGAATTTTTTAGTCAACATTGCTTTGATACGATAGAAGATTAATTATCTATTGTATACAATCACATTATGTTGAACCATATACTATTCATATTTATTCAATCCAGTGAATCATGAAACTAAATTATTATTTTATCTGATAATCATATCGGCTTTTCATTGTTCAACTATACTAGATGAATAAAAATATTTAGTTTTATGGACCTTCAATGTGCGGACGAATGGTTTCAATGAATAATGCAGAGCACTTCTTCTGTTAACTTAACCCATTACTCAAAAAATATTTTATGTGTACATAATTTTTTTTTTTCTGACCTTCAAATCGAAAAAGTTTGATGCGCACGTTCGTTGATCGGCTTCATATTTTCAAGTGAAGTACTTCAAACTAATAGAATCAGCATATGTGTCGATCCTTTTTTTTTCTAGTAAATAACTCATATTTTCTCTTATGTAAGTCGTAAATTTAAAAAAAAGAAAAAAGAAGAAAGAAAAAGTAAATTTAAAAAGATACATCAACCACTTGAGACTAAAAAAAACGATGGGTAATAATGGTAACAAAGAAACGAAAGAAGACAAGTAAGATGCTCAAATCAGTATTAATAGAATTTAAAATTTCAACATATTAGAACATACGTGAATGATCACCAGCCTAAATCATTTGTATCTAATACAATTCATGATTCAGATTCTCAATATGAATCAGAATCTGAATTACCAAAAAAGCCTTCACCACCAAAGAAACGACATGACAAACTGAAGAATCCATATAATGAACGACCTCTTGAATTGTCATGGTTACAACAGAACCATAGTCATGATAATTATAAGTATGGTATCTAATCAGAAGTCTTAAGGTTGTTCTTATTCGATTATAATATTTTTTTTAGTCGAATGAATCATCGTCATCAACATAGTTCCCAGCATCATCATCATCAGCATCATCATCATCAACAGCAGCAGCAGCAGCAGCATCAGCACCATCAAGAACATCTGCGTCGAAAACCATTAGCCATTAATAGATGGCCCAAAGATGATGACCAAATTGAAAAACAAAAAGGAAAATCTTTCATTGAAGAATATATTCATCAATAATAAACAATTTTTTTCAGACGCAATA